CTGTTACCTACTATTCTTCTCCTTCAGGTTATTTCTTTTCCTTTACATCACTGTTTCCTTACCCTTGTCCTGGTTCCTGCAGTTATGTCTGTTTGCATAGTCACTGATAAAGATTTGGTACTAGGATCCACATATGAGGGAGAACATATGTCGATTTTTTTCTGAGTCTGTGTTACTTCACTTAGTATAACAGTTTCTAGTTCCATCCATTTACCTGCAAATTTCATGATTTCATCTTTCTTTACTGCTGAGTAAAACTCCATCGTATAAATGAACCACATTTTCATTATCCACTCATCAGTTGAGGGACACTTAGGTTGCTTACATCTCTTAGCTATTGTGAAAAGAGCAGCAACAAACATGGATGTACAAGTGTCTCTGCAATAGGATGAGTTCTTTGGGTATATGCCAAGGAGTGGTATAACTGGGCCAAATGTTAGGTTCATTTGTAGTTTTCTAAGAGTTCTCCACATTGCTTTCCATAGGGATTGAGCAAGTTTGCAGCCCCACCAGCAGTGGATGAGTGTTCCCCTTTCCCCACATCCTCTCCAACATTTGGTATCATTTGTTCTCTTGATCTTGGCCAGTCTGACTGGGGTAAGGTGAAATCTTAAAGTGGTTTTAATTTGCATTTCCCTAATTATTAGTGATGCTGAACATCTTTTAAGATGCTTCATAGCCATCTTTACTTCTTCTTTTGAGAACTCTCTGTTCAGCTCCTTAGCCCATCTTTTAATTGGATTACTTCCTTGATTCTTTGTTTTTTGAGTTCATTATATATGCTGGATGTTACACCTCTGTCAGACGTGTCACTGGTGAAGATTTTCCCCCATTTTGTGGGTGTTCTCTTCATTTCCCTGGTTGCCTCCTTTGATGTACAGAAGCTTTGTAGTTTAATGAGGTCCCATTTGTTGATTCTTGTCCTGTTTCCTGAGCAGTTGATATCCAGTTTAGAAAATCCTTTCCTACATCTATATCTTGTAGGTTTTTGCAATATTTTCTTCTAACAGTTTCAGAGTTTCAGGCTTTACATTCAGGTTTTTGATCCATTTGGAATTTAGTTTTGTGCAGGGTGAAAGATAGGGGTTTAGTTTCATTCTTCTACAGGTGGAGATCCAGTTTTGCCAGCACCATTTGCTAAACATGCTGTCTTTCCTCCAGTGAATATTCTTGGCCCCTTTGTCAAATATCAGGTGGCTGAAATTGCATTTACTCATATTTGGGTCTTCAATTTTGTTCCATTGAT